TGGGGACGGGGAGGCACCCAGGCATTGAGCTGAGACTGCTGTCTCAGAGGAGTTTCCAGGGTGGATGCTCAGGTGCGGCTCACAGACATGAGAGAGACGTAGGGTGGGAAACACTGCATTCAGAATAGAGATATCATCTGATGTCTTGTTCTCTTCAATTTGGTGGACAGCATCTCCCTGTGTCTAAACTTGTCTATTGTCTGCTGAAAGTCTGTATGAACACAAGAGACAGAAACCTTTCTTCTGGCCTTCTTTCCTGTCTAGGGTCAGAATTAATGAATTTGGAACTGTGTTACCTATTATGACTGGTGTTGACTATGGAATCAAGTGGGCATACTTAAATTTGGCGCAGGACTGATCTTTTGGTTCAAGGTCCTGTGGCAGTGATGGTGGGGAAAGGGCATTCACCACACTTTCTGATTTTGTTCTTTGTAAGAGAGCCAGCTACAGAAAGTAGAGGATCCTCAAGGGAGATAAGCACAGAGCAGTAGATTCCTAGCTTAGCACAGCACATTTAATTCAGACTTCTCTTTGTCATGAAACTGAAAACCAGAAAGGTAACAGGTTGTGTTTGCTCTAGGTCATTGGCAATTTTGTAGCAGTGAAGCTCATAATCTAGGGTTTCAGTCCTTTATCATTTTTTTTTTTTTCAGAGACAGGATTTCATACAGCTTAAGCTGGCCTGGTATTAAAGACAATCCTCCTGCTTCAGTATTCTGAATACTGAGATTACAAATTTGAGTTATTGTAATTGGCTCCAAATCTTCAGTCTTAACTTTAAAAACTTATTTATTATGTGTAGCTAGAGTTTTTCTGGTCCTGCCTGGCCCACAGTCAGGACAAATCTCTCTAACCCACCAGTTCCACAGCAGCTCAGACCCAACCAAGTAAACACACAGAGACTTATATTGCTTACAAACTGTATGGCCATGGCAGGCTTCCTGCTAACTGTTCTTATATCTTATATTAATCCATTTCTATAAATCTATACCTTGCCACGTGGCTCATGGCTTACCGGCATCTTCACATGCTGCTTGTCATGGCAGCAGCTGGCAGTGTCTCTCCCATTCAGCCTTCCACTTCCCAGAATTCTCCTCTCTCCTTGTCCTGCCTATACTTCCTGCCAATCAGGAAGAAATAAAACACTGGCCAATCAGTGTTTTATTTACACAGAACAATACCCACAGCAATTATGTTTGCATGTGTGTGCATTTTTTGCGGGCATACTTGTATTCACGCACCATGGCACACATATTGAAGTCAGAAGACAGCTTATGGGAGTTGGTTCTACCTGCGGTTTCTGGGGATTAAAATCAGGTCTTCGTGCTTGGTGACAAGTGCTCTCACCTGCTAAGCCATCTTTCCAGTACCCAGTCTCAACCCTTAACCAGGGCTTTCCCTGTTCAAAACCAAGTCCTGTTTTCACGTGGTATGTCTATTGTACATCTGCGCATATGCAACTGGATACATCACTGCAATGAGTACACACATACTTACAAATGCCCACAAATACTTCATATGTAGAAGTAAAAAGTGGAAACACCCAGCATTTCATCAGCAGGTGGGGGAATAAACTGAGGTCTTACATGATGGGACACTACTCAGAAATGAATATGAATATGAATGGGCTGTTATACGCTATAGCATGGATGAATCTCAAAACAGTTATATTGTATTAAAATAGACCAAAAGTCCATTCATGTAAAACTCAAGAAAAGGCAAAGTGATCTGTAATGATGAAATGCAGATGAAAGGTTGTTTGGGAATAAGGATTGCAGGGAAGAGTGGAAGGGAAATTCTGTAGTGGGGCATGGGGAAACCTGTTGTTTGAATCTTAGATGGCATTTTAATAAAAAACTCAGAGTCAGATATCAGGGTGAAAGCTGAAAGATCAGAGAAGCAGACCAGCCAGACACTAGTTTTTACCTCTACAAAATCCTCAGTCTAAAGAGAGTGAGTTCCTGTTTTCTCATGCCATATATACCTTTCTCTGCCCTGCCATATTACTTCCTGGGGTTAAAGGCGTGCGTCACTACTGCCTGGCTGTTTCTCTCCTATGATGGATCAATCTCTTGTAGCCCAGTGTGGCTTTGAACTCACAGAGATCCAGACAGATCTCTGCCTCCTGAGTGATAGGATTCAAGGAGTGTCACATTTCCTAAATTCACATTGTTGGATGACAGTTTCATGGGAACCAGCATTTTCTCTCCAAACAATGTCTGTCTGGACAGAATCATCACCTGTGTTCACTCAGTTTTCACCACAGTGTCAAGAGAACAACAAGCACATAGAAGATAACGAAGAAGTGCTGGTGAAGTTTTAAGTGTTGGAGATAATAAAATGTGGATTTTATTTTTCACTTTACATTTTATTTTTTAAAATTAAATTTATTCTTTGAAAATTTCATTCCTGTATATAATGAATTCTGATTACTCTCTCTCTCTCTCTCTCTCTCTCACACACACACACACACACACACACACACACACACACACACACACACACCATCCCTTATGCATTTTAATCATTAGTGAATTCTTAACTAATGTGTCCTCTTGATCCTCTGGGAGACTCTTATTTTTTGAGATAGGGTTTTACTCTATAGCCTAGACTGGCCTGGAACTTGCAATAGTCCTCCTGCCTCAGTCTCCCAAGCCCTGGGGTGGTAGAGTTGCATCACCAGAACTTCTCATTAATTTGCTCTGCTTTCCACAAACTCCTATACTTCATGGATACTCTATTCATCTTTAGTGTCCTGGATGTTTTTTGGCTTGTCTTACTGATGGGGGCATTTTTCTGCAGACTTGTTGTGTGGCATCTTTCTCCACCTTCCTTTGGGTTTCCCTAACACCAACCCCATTGATGTAGAAATACCCTCTTCCCCTGCACACACTGTCAGATGGACATTACTCTCTGTGCCAATCGGTTTGATTTAGTATTAAAAATATTTGTAGAGATACCCATGTAGCATGGGTTCTCACAAACTTCCAGAGAAATTGACTTACTTGTCATCTTAGCTTTATGGATAAAGAGTTTAAAGTGCAGAGAGATTATATCATTTGTTTATGATCACACAGCTAATTAGTTGGAAAAACCAGGATTTGAATTCAAGCCAGGTGTGGTGGTACACACCTGCAATCTCAACACTTGGGAGGTAGAGGCAGGAGAATCAGGTGTTTAAGGCCAGGTTGGGCTACATAATGAGTTTGAGACCGGTCAGAGCGCTATCAGACTCTGTCTCAAAAAGCAAACATAAAATATATGAATTCAAGTGTGTTTTAACATCAATTCTTTCAACCACTGTGGTGTATTAATGTCCATAAGATCTAACTTCTGTGATTCTTTTCAGATCTTCTTTCACTTTTTAAGAGCTTTACTAGGGATAGATTTTTTTTTTTTTCTGGATATGCTTATGTGTGCTAGCCTACTAACTCAAGAAAAAAGGCCTTTCCTACCATGTCTGAATGCCAGATAACTTCCAGGACCATTGCTCTGCAGGTGAAAACTTTATTACCTCCATAGTCTGGTGTGTGTGTGTGTGTGTGTGTGGTGGGGCGAGGAAGTTGATATTGTGCAACTTTGTTCTTAGTTAAATTGTTCTCCTTGTAAAAACCAAGCCTTTGCAACAGGAGTCTGAATAGAGCAGTGGGCGTTGGGGAAATCAATAGCTCTTAAAAAGGTAGGTCTATGTACCAGGTCTCCTCTCCATTGATCCCTGGTAATTTGCAACCTGGAGTTCTGTTCAGGAGTCTTGCACCCTTTGTCAAATCTCCGAGGGCCCCATTTTCTGGATGCTTCTTTTCAGCGCAGCCTTGACATCCGCATTCCTCAGGCTGTAGATGACAGGGTTGAGGATGGGGGTGATCACAGCATAGAAGAGAGACAGCAGGGGGTCCGTGGCTGGGTCGTAGCTGGCCTTAGGACGGATATAGATAAAGATGGCAGTACCGTAGAAGAGAGATACCACTACCAGGTGGGAGGAACAGGTGGAGAAGGCCTTTCGGCGACCAGCAGCTGATGGGATGCGGAAGATAGTGGCCAGGATCCTCCCATAGGAACTAAGGATGAGGCCAAAGGGGCACAGGATGATAAGGGCGGCAGCCAGGATAATCTGCAGCTCATTGAGCGAGGTGTCCCCACATACCAACTGCAGCACCGGCTGGATCTCACAGAAGAAGTGAGGGACAGCGTTGGGGCCACAGAAGGGCAAGGAGAAGATGAAGGAGGTGTGCCCCAGCCCCACAAGAGCCCCGCAGGTCCACGCGGCGCCGGCGAGCTGCACACACACCCGCCGGCTGAGCAGCATTTGGTAGCGCAGGGGCTCGCAGATAGCAGCGTAGCGGTCATAGGCCATGGCCGCCAGCAGGCAGCACTCGGTGGCACCAAAGAAGAGGAAAAAGAACATCTGCAGAGCGCAGCCGGAGCGCGAGATGTGGCGCCGGCCAGTGAGCAGATGGTGCAGCAGCAAGGGGACGGTGACCGACGTGTAGCAGATCTCCAGGGCGGAGAGGATGCGGAGGAAGAAGTACATGGGGGACTGCAGCGCTGCGTCTGTGGAGACTAGCGCCACGATGAGGAGATTGCCTGCCACCGTGAGCAGGTAGACCGCCAGGAAGAGGGAGAAGAGGAGGCCCTGCAGGTGGGCCAGACGTGAGAAGCCCACCAGCACGAACTCAGTCACCAGGGAGGTGTTGGTGTCCATCTGCCACAGTTTTTGGCCAGGAAGGAGGGGCCGGGAAGAGCCACCACTGTGTGTGCTTCGAAGAGGGCAGAGATGACCTCTCTGCCCGGGGACTCCTATTTTCTTAAGCTATCAGGGCCTTTGAACTGAGATGTTCACGCACAGGCCCATGTTACACCCTGGCCACCCTAAGAACGCTCTGGGTGGACATTTGTCTCTGATCTCTGCGCTGTCCCCACGGTCAGAAGTACACACTGAATTTAGATTCTTCTGCTCTGACTCCGGATTGTTCTGCCTTCTCTCGCACTCTTCCTTTTGTTTTAGGTTTCAATTATATCCCAGAATGGCCTAGAATTCACTGTATTCTAAACTGGTCTCCAATTCACTTAGATCCTCCTGCATCAGCTTCGTGTGCACTGGCGTGAGCAATGGAATTACAGTAAGTAGCCACCGCATCCAGCGTTTTCATGCTTCTCCATTTCCCATCCTTGCTGGGGTGGACATTTCCTCCCCAGATGAACCCGAATTTGATTCACATTCAGAGCGGGGGAAAATTCTATTCCAAGTCATGGGTATTTCCTGTCCTGTTCCTCCTCTAAATCCTTTATCTTTTCTTCTCCAATACATTTCTTTCTTTTTTCGCTCTCAATGTGTCTCTTCTCTGATCCATTCTTTCCCCCTTCCATTAGCCTCTCTTTATTTGCTATCATCTTACCTCAGAGTTCACAGTCTCTCATTTGTAGAGAAGACTCAAAATCATCTCTTTGAGGCAGCTGCAGGAAATAAAGCTATTATCTAGTCAGAGGAGTGAAGATCTCTGTAATAAAAATGTAGTGGAATACAAAGCCTTCTCCAGTTGCCCATCTTTGCAGCTTGGTGCTCTCAGACTCATGCTTTTATATCACAATACATATAAAACTCCCCAGATTTTGTACACAAACCTCACGGATGCATACACTAACATGGTACACTTCTAAATCTAAGCACAGAAGTGTAAACTAATAACCTCAGAAGCCAGATTCATTCAAAGTCACAAATGTATCATATATTATGTACATATACAAACATCATTACAAATAACACTGAAAGTGACTACATATAATAAAAATATAGACACCTAAAAAGATGAACTTAAGTAGATACATACATTCAAATGCTATGCAAAAATATAAATATTCATTAGAGCCATGAACCCACACATTGATCCTGCTGCGGTTCAGTCCCTGCTTTATTTCATCCTGGATCTCCCAGCATTTTTCTGGACATCATTTGTATAGTGTTTTCCTACTTGGGAAAACAGACATTGATAAAGGCAGGTAGGGCCTGATGACTGGCTTTTTTTCCCTCCTTCTGTAACATGGGTCCCTCATCAGGAGAATTTTCTTTAAGTCTCTGAGGACCTGAGTCTCCCAGCACATTCTGCTTTCCAACTGGGAGAGCCTCACACAACTAATTAATGTTATTTTGGAGTCTGTTCCTTAGATGGCAAGAGGCAAAGGCTGACCTATAAGAAGGTTTCATAGACAATCTCAAGTGTTATGGGTCTCCCTCTTAGCTCTCATATACTATCCCTGGTCACTCATTTTTATTTTCTCCTTTCCATCACTGTAGATGTCACCACATTTACAAAACCAGTAATTCTATTTATTATTAATATATTCTTTATTGATATGGTTCAATAATGAATTTACTCTCTCTCTCTCTCTCTCTCTCTCTGTGTGTGTGTGTGTGAGTGTACATGTGTATAAGTATTCATGTATCTACATGTGGAGGTCAGAAGTTGATATTTTTTGTTTTGTTTAGTTTTTACCCTAGTTAATTTTATTTATTTATTGAGTTGATATTTTTTGTTTTGTTTAGTTTTTACCCTAGTTAATTTTATTTATTTATTGAGATAGAATCATACCATGTGGCTCTGGCTGACCTGCATAGACCAGGATGCCCTTAAGTCTTTTAAGACAATTCACAACCACCACACAACTGAACAAACTAGGAGGAACAGGGAGCCTCTATGCCAGTGTTTGCTGCTAAAATTGCAGACCTCTATCTTTTTTTTTTTTTTTTTTTTTTTTTTTTGGTTTTTTCGAGACAGGGTTTCTCTGTGTAGCTTTGCGCCTTTCCTGGAACTCACTTGGTAGCCCAGGCTGGCCTCGAACTCACAGAGATTCGCCTGCCTCTGCCTCCCGAGTGCTGGGATTAAAGGCGTGCGCCACCACCGCCCGGCTGCAGACCTCTATCTTAAACTATATTTTTGCAGAATGCTAGACTCCCTTTAGCCCTCTTTCTCATCCTTTCTTATCTCTCTTAGCCAGTTCCCCTCATTTATTTCCAATTCCCTCTTTTCTCTTTTTGTTTCATATAGCCCAGGCTGCCTACAAATTCTTTATGTAGCTGAGAGTGATCTTGAACTCTTCCTTGATCAAAGCCTCCACCTTCCAAATGTTGGGAATTTAGGCATGCACCCTTACGCTAGGCTTCAACAATTTTACTTTCTAATGTGATAGATGTCGACAGATATAATCCACATGAGATCCCTCTCTTAGTGTGCATTAACTCATAAGAGTTGTGCCCGACTCTCCTGGGCTGGAAAGCAGAGTGTGCTGGGACACTCAGGCCGTCGGAGACTTAAAGAAAACATAAGGACATTCTCCTTATGTTGCAGAAAATAAGCCAGTCATCAGAACTATCTGCTTTTATCAATAGCCATTTTCCCAAGCAGGAAAACACTGTACAGGTGATGTTCAGTAAGGAGTGTGTATCAATATCTCAAAAGACACAAGGAGTGTGTATCACTATCTCAAAAGACAGTTTTGAATGTCATAATCACAAAAGTTTAAATCTCTAAAATGTAATTCAGGAGGTATTTTAAAAATTACTTTAAAGATGTTTATTTGCATTTTTCAAAGTATTTATTGAAGGAATATAAAACATGGGAAAACAGTCTACGTTATCTCACATGATAGGCAAAAGTGTACACATTTTTGCATGCATATCACTTGACTTAGGTATGCTCATGAAGCTTGCATAGGTATACCAATTATGAATGCTATATTCATAAAGACATTAATCAATAAGGTAAACGTGTAAACACATATCAGTATGGCTGACAATTGTGTACACAGAGATTTATACCCACAGTTACCTGAAATATGATGATATTTATGACTTCCTAGGATCTTAGACTTAAGAGATTTTGATCTTGCAGGATTTTAGTGTTAGAGTTTGTGACATTCATAAGTTTCTGAGTTATGATCAGCCCCAACTGTGAAGTAGTACCACACACAGGTGCTCACAAAGCCTGGAGCCTCCTTGCTCATACTTTATCATAAAGCATATGGAAAATACAGTGCAGAATTATCATCATGACAGTTGTGGAGATGAGGACTGTATTCTCAGAGGCATGTCTCCCTAAAATGGGGCTGTAGACAAGCTCATAGAGCATTTTCTTAATTAGTGATTAATTTTGGAGGACTCCATCCATTGTGGGTGTAGCCACTCCTGGGATAGTAGTCATTGGGTCTCCAGGAAAGCAGGCTGGGCAAGCCATGGAAAGCAAGCCAATAAGTAGCACTCCTCCATGCCCTCTGCATCAGATCCCGGCTTCAGGTTCCTGCCTTGCCTAAGTTCCTGTTCTGACTTCCTTCAATGATGATAAGTGTTGTGGAAATGGTGGCGCATCCCTTTAATCCCAGCACTCAGGAGGCAGAGGCAGGAGGATCTCTGTGAGTTCGAGGCCAGCCTGGTCTACAAAATGAGTTCCAGGAAAGGTGCAAAGCTACACAGGGAAACCCTGTCTTGAAAAAAAAATCCAAAAAAGGAAGTGTAATAATACCTGGCCCCCTCCTTGAATTACATTTGCTTTGATTTGGCATAAGCCAAATAAATCATTTCCTTCCCAAGTTGCTTTTGGTCATGGTGTTTCTTCACAGCAATAATTGTAACTAAGAGAGACACTATGACCAAGGCATCTTATAAAAGAAACAATTTAATTTGGAGCTTGCTTAAAATTTCTGAGGGTGAGTCCTTCACCATCATAGCAGAGAATATGGCAGCAGGCAGTGAGGAATGACACTGGAACAGTAGCTGAGAGTTTACACCTGATCCACAGGCAGGAGGCAGAGACTGGGTCTGGCATGGGTTTTTGAAACCTCAAAGCCCACCCCCAGTGACACATCTCTTCCAACAAGATCTCACTCTCATAATCCTTCCAAAACAGTTTCACCAACTAGGGACCAAGCATTTAAACACATGAGCTATGGGGGCCATTCTCACTCAAACCACCACATTCCACTCCCTAGCTCCCATAGGTTTGTAGCCATATGATTAAGCAAAATGTATATAGTCCAACTTCTAAAGTCCCCATAGTATTTTACAACCTCAACACTGTTTAAAAGTCCAAAGTCTCTTCTGTGACTCAAGGCAATCTCTTAAATGTAACCCTCTGTAAACACAAAAATCAAATACCATACTTTCAAAATAAAATGGTATAGACTATACATTATCATTCCAAAAGGGAGGAAAGAGAGCATAGTGTGGAAGTATTGGACTAAGCAAGACCTAAACCCAGCAGAGAAAGCTCTATATCAATGACAAATGGCTTAGATGGCTCTGTGAATATCCCACTTCTTCCAGCTTTATTGACTGCAACACACATCTCTCTCTTGGGCTGGTTCCACACCCTGTATGCAGCATACCCCGGCAGACATCCCACGCCTCTGGCATCTCCAACACATTGGGGGTCTTCAATGCAATCTAGGAATCACTTCCACAGCTTCATGAAGTGGTCTCTCTGGGTCTCCTGAAGGGACTCTCCTGTCACACTCCTGGCCTCAGTAGCTTTTCTTAACTGAGGAGGGAGATTCCACAACCCTTTTACTCCTGTATTTTTGTTGACTCTACAACCAGAATAAGTCCCAAAGCTGTCAAGTCCTTTTGTGTACCTGGGCTGGAAACTGGCCTCTTTCTTGAGTTATATTTGCATAGGCTTTGTAGCTGCTTTTTAGGTGTAGGAAATCTCTTAGCTTTTTTGGTTCACAGAATGAAGAATTAGCTGGATGGGGTCTCTCCCTGAGGGTTCCACTTCCTTTATTACATTTTGTTGTTGTTTTTTTAAAAAAAGAAAAAAAGGGGAAGTGCTGTGGATATTGCTCTATATAAATAAAACACTGATGGCCAGTGACCAGGCAGGAAGTAGGTTGCCAGGCAGGAAGTAGGTGGGACAAGGAGAGAGGAGAATTCTGGGAAGCGGAAGGCTGAGGAGGGAGACACTGCAGCCACCGCCAGGACAAGCAACATGTAAAGACTCTGGTAAGCCACCAGCCACGTGGCAAGGTATAGATTTATAGAAATGGGTTAATTTAAGATAAAAGAACAGTTAGCAAGAAGCCTGCCACACAGTTTGTAAGCAATATAAGTCTCTGTGTTTACTTGGTTGGGTCT